TGGGGGACCACATCCCGAGAGCACTGGGAGGCCCCAGGGACTGGCAATGCAGGGCCTGGTGTTGGCTTTTGCAGTGAGCAGGACAAGTGACTCGATGCTCATCCACTCCTCTTTCTGTGGCTGAGTGTTTCCCACTGCTGAGGGTTGAACCAGAGCTGTGCTTTTCAGGCTGGGTTCCCCAGCACCCTCATAGGGGCCTGGAACGCCGAATGCCTCAGTGCCGCCCTCCAACCTCCTCCCTCCTGCTGCCTGCAGAACTCTTGGTCGTCCTTTACAGCCCATTTCCAGTGCCCCTTCTCTGGGGGCGCTGGCCTGAGCCATCTGGGTCCTCAGAGCTCCGTGTACCCCCTACCCCTGCAGGCCACCTCCTGCTCCCAGCACAGGCTCTGGCATGGGACCCTGCAGGGTTTGTGGATCAGAAGTGGCAATACTAGGCCCCGAGGTTCTGAATCACTCACACGCACGGGCACATATGCACCCATACATACATGCACAGCGACACGCACATACCCACACACGTGAACACGCACACATATGCATACATGGCATACATGGTACACACACATGCATGCACACACAGACACATGCACGCATATACACACATGGCACATATGCACAGTACACACATGCACATGCACACAACACACCCACACACAGGCGCCCACATGCACACACCAGAACACGCCGGCACACCCCCTCCATCACCTCACCCCTCCAGGCAGGCTGACAGCTCACGTGCACCCTCTAGTGGCTGGCATGAGGCACCACGGCCAGGCTGCCGCTTGAGTTTCGGGTTGGGTCCAGGCCACCTGGGGTGCAGAGGATGAGAGCAGCACACCCCACCTCAGTCACACTTGGAGCCCCCTTTGCCAGGGGACGCTGCTTGGCCTGCCCATCCAGGTGCTGACACCATACTGGGGTTGGGGATCTGGCCATGTCTGCCCAGCTAGCTAAGTTGAGGCAGGGGTCGGGGAGACCATGGGCAGGATGGCCGTGTCCTTAGCTGCCACCACCCAGGGTAGCTGGGTCTCCTCCAGGGAACCCTCAGCATCATGGCAGGAGCCAGGCTGGGTTGGGCGGCCTCACTCCAGACCTCAAGCCAGGGCTGGCTCTGCCCCTGCACACGCAGGAAATGTGTGACCTGGACCCTCGCTGGTTCCCTGCAGGGCCTTGGGCAGCTATGCCCAGACCAAACGAGGCAGGGGGGCTAGGAGGCAGCTCCAGGAGGACGCACCTGGCCTGCCCCTTCCTGAGACCTGCAGGGAGTCCCAAGGGCTGACACCGCCACTGCCCAGCCTACCCCTGGAGCTGTGGTTGGGGCTGGGGTAGGGTGCCTGGCGTGGCCATGGTGGTGGGCTCTCTTGGAGAACCCTCTGCAGCATGGCTTTGGGGCCCAGCCTGGTCCTCCTGGCCACAGAAGGTTCTGAGAGCGCTCCAGAAAGCCCTCCATGAATTCCTTTTCTGCCTGAACCTGTCAGAGCTGGAGTCTGCTGCTGCAACTACAAGCCTCCTGGAACCCACCTGGGACCCCGACGTGGCCCCTCCCCCACCCTGGGAGCTTGGGGCTCACTCTCCACCACAAGGGAACCTCATCTACCTTCTTCCTGCTGCATCCTGGGCCTAAAGCGGCACCCAGCACACAGTAGGCACTAAATAAATACACAATGGAGCAATGCACTGAGGGAGGCCTGCCTGATAGGTGCCCTGGAAGCAGAGGCTGGTATGGAGTTTGGGGTGCCTGCTGTGCCTTGGGGACTACACCTGCTGGGCCGGGCCAGGGAGGCAGCGTTGGGCAGAGGGAGAGGCCGAAGCCTGATGCGGGCCTCGGCCAGCCGGGGGGGCGGGAGCTCGGGGAGGGCTCCCTACTGGTGGGGCTTTCCACCCCACTCAGCTCTGCCGTGCAGGGAGGGCTGCGACCTCAAAGGTGGCCTCTGAGGCTGAGGCTGAGAGCTGGGGGCAACAGGTCTTCTTTCAGAGGGCCCCCTGGGTGTTGTCTCCACGTCTACATCAAAGCGTAACCCTCATTGAAAGAGAAACGAAGGCTCAGAAAGCCACTGCAGCCAGGGATGGTGGCTCATGCCTGAAATCCCAGCACTTTGGGAGGCCAAGGCGGGTAGATCACTTGAGGTCAGGAGTTTGAGACCAACCTTGCCAACATGGGGAAATCCCGTCTCTATTAAAAATACAAAAACTAGCTGGGTGTGGGGGTGGTGCCTGTAATCACAGGTACCCAGGAGGCTGAGGCATGAAACTCACTCAAACCCAGGAGGAGGGTAAGGGGGGAGAGGGGAGGGGGGAGGGGAGACGGGGGAGCTGGGGCAGGCACCCCATGAGCACAGCTAGGATCGGCCCAGCCTGCCTGGTCAGCAGCACCACCCAGCCGGCTGTGGACTTGTGAGAAGTGACAGAGAGTTGTTGTTTGTTTTAACCGCTGAGTTTCAGGGTGGTTTTGTTACGCAGCATCACTGCTGCCTGCAGATAACAGATCCTCAGCCAGGCAGGCACCAGATCCTCAGCCAGGCAGGCACCAGATCCGCAGCCAGGCAGAAAACCAGATCCGCAGCCAGGCAGAAAACCAGATCCGCAGCCAGGCAGGCTTGAGCCCCAGCCCCTTTCCGGTCCCTGGAGACGCTCACTGAGCTGACACGATAGTTCTGGGTCTTCTCTCATGTGCCCCATTTCTCCTCGATACCTTTCCCTGCTTGGGTTTGACAGCCACACTTTGGAACTATCCTAGTACCATATTTTTCTGTTTTCTTCATGGGCTCCTCCACATGTGAAGGGGGTTGGGCAGCCCCTTAGTTCCAGCTGCCACTGATGTGCTCATGACTGGCTAGTCTTTTTGTGTTTGTTTGCTTGTTTTGAGACAGGGCCTTGTTCTGCTGCCCAGGCAGGAGGGCAGTGGCGCCATCACGGCTCACTGCAGCCTGGACCTCGTGGGCTTAAGTGATCCTCCCACCTTGGCCTTCTGAGTAGCTGGGACCACAGGTATGTACTATCACACCCAGCTAATTTATTTTTTACTTTTTGTAGGGGATCTTGCTGTGTGGGCCAGGCCGACTGCCCCGTCTTTGTCTCCAGCCCAGGCCTCTCTCCTGAACTTCAGTCCTGTAGGTCCAGCATGCCACCTCCGCATGAATGCCACCTCCGCATGAATGCCCCGCCACATCCATCCCTGAGTCCAAAGCTGCTCAACACCTTCCTGGCCAGTGGCTCCTCCCTCCTGCCTCCTACTTCAAAGGGCAGCGTTGCCCTGCCCTCTGCCACCCACGCTGGAAGTCTTCGAGTCATCCTTGATTTCACTCTGTATCCACACCCTCCAATTCTGCTGGCCTCCCCTCCCACAGGCCATTGGAAGCCCCTTGTCCTCTTCCCCTTGTTCCCCATCGCTCCCCTGGAAGGACACCCTGCCCTCTTCCCTGTCCCCTCCACAGTCACCACCATTCATTCTGCCACCTGGTCACCCCTTCTGTGGCGCTCACAGCAAAGTTCGAATGCTCCGACCTGGCTCCCCAAGCCCTCTGGCTTCCCCTACTCTCCTCTCCCCACCTTGGTGTTCCTCCCCCTCCCCCTCCCCCAGCTTCCATGATACTACCACCACCTCCACCAGGGTCTCTGCTTCCTGTGTTAAAAATGCCCCATTCTAGGACTGTATCCTGGTCTCTGATCTTAATCACTACCATATTTTCACTGAGTAGCAGAGGCTCCCATTCATGGCAGGCAATTAGTAAGTGCTGAGCTGGACACATGGAATCTGGACAAGGCTGGAATTATCACAGGAGAAAAATGAGGACATGTGTGCAAAATGGTGCGGAGAGAATAGAAGCTTGCAGTCGAGAGTCAGAGATGCCTCCGCAGTTAGATTGCTGACCTCTGAGAAGGGGAACCATGCCTTATTCATCTCTGCGAAGTAAAGGTTTTATAAATGAATGGGGTGAATGAGTACAGATCAGTCAATGCTCAACGTCTAACCTGAACTGAAAAATTCATATTTAGGAACATGGTAAGAAAGATATGCTACTGAAGACTGTTGAGATAGGTACTGAGATCACTGCCATGGGGGGTTGCAGTGGGGACAGGGATCAGGTTCAACTCCGAATACCGCAAGGGCAAGTGGAAACGTATAGCCACGGAGCAGGGAGGGGTCAGTGAATGGGAAATTAATAGGAGAAAACATCAGGGATGAGGGTGGTGCTGGCGAAACCGACCTGACAGGGTTCTTGCTGAGAGGCTGGAGTGATCACAGAGCACCCGGGAGATGGAGGACGACAAACCTGATCAGACATCAAGGTTCTTGCTAAACTCAATTATCAAGGGTCTTTGCTAAAACTGGATTTTACAAGGAAGTGCGCAGATGGTCTGGAAGGTTCTGCCTAAGTTTCGCCAAGCAAAGACTCTTTGTTACACTCCACAGAAAATGGGCCCTCCTGGCACCACCTGCACTACAGAGCGGCTTCCCTCCCCTCTGGGTGCTTCGAAAACCTAGGCTTCGCGGACCTGCGTGTGTATCAGACAGACCTGGGCTTGTTAAAGCCAAGTTCTTTGGAAGCCCCCGTTCTACAGCAGTGGAGTCCAAAAGAAACATCACAGCAGCCATGTAGGCAATTTAAAACTTTCCGTCTTAAATAGGTTAAAAGAAACAGGTAAAATTAATTTTAATGACATTTTTACTTAATAGATCCGAAAATTATTTCGACATGTAATCAATATGAAAACATTATCGGGATGTCTTACATTCTTTTTTACCTTTACTTCTTTGGGATCTAGGGTGTATTTTACCTTTAGAGTCCATGCGGTCCCACGTGGTTAGTGCCCCAGGTGGGAAGCGCCTGCAGGTGCGGGAGAAACCAAGCAGCCAGAGAACTACAACTCCCGGCATGGGCCGGGCGCGCCCCGTGACGCACTTCCTTTGCGATAGCCACAGCGCGCCCCCAACGGAGGGAGCGAGGCGCTTGCCAGAGAACCACAACTCCCGGCATGCGCCAGGCGCGCGCCCGTGACGCACATCCGGTGCGGCGGCGACAGCGCGCCCCCGGCGGCTGCGGCGGCGGGAGCGAGGCGACCGGTGGGACCGAGGCGAGTGACGGCGGCCCGGCCGACGGGAGCCGGGGCGGGGCGGCGGCGGCCCAGCGAAGGAGCGCGCGGGCGGCCTGGCCCCGCCCCCGCCCCGCCCGCCCGCCCGGTGACCTTCAGGGGCTCGGGTGGCGGCCGCAGGCCCCTGCGGCGGCGGCGGCGGCGCGATGTTCGTGCAGGAGGAGAAGATCTTCGCGGGCAAGGTGCTGCGGCTGCACATCTGCGCGGCCGACGGCGCCGAGTGGCAGGAGGAGGCCACCGAGGACACGTCGGTGGAGAAGCTCAAGGAGCGCTGCCTGAAGCACGTAAGGCCGCGCCGGGCCGGGACCCTCCCCCGCCGCCAGCACTCGCCCCGGACCGCTCAGACTGCGGACCCCACCGCAGTCCCCGACCCGGGGTCCGCCGCCGGGTCCGCAGCTCCCAGGCCCCCTTCCCCGGGGGTGGCGGCAGCGCCTCCTGCCCGTTTGCCCGACTCTCCCGCTTCCGGATCCCACGCCTCTGGACGCTCGTCCCCGGGCCGGGCCGGCCGGCGGGCACCGGTCACTAAGCGCTCGCCCGGGACCAGCCGCCCGGCCGAGCCCTCTGCACGCCAGCCTCTCGGTAAACTCTGTAGCTCTGCACGGAGGTAGGGGCGGATTGGGAAACTGAGGCCTGGAGAGTGAAGCCGCCGACGGGAGCAGGGCTTCAGGATTTTCCAGCCGTTGTGCCTTTTTGCTGTTGGGGTGAGTTTTTTTCAGCAGCCCCTCTGAGAGCTGAGAATTATCGCAGGCCCCTGCATTAAGAGCTCCCTTCTCCTCCTCTTCCCCTTTCCCGCAGAGCCGGCGGCTTGGAAGCTTTTCTTGGCTGGCGCAGCCGGCCTTGGCTGTGGCCACTGTGCCTCTTAGCTGGAGTCACTGAAATAGTGCCGCTGCGGGACAAGGCTCTGCCCCCCTGCTTTTCTGCAGAGGTAACATTGGTCAAGAGGGAAGGTCCAGGAAGAGGGTCTCCTCGCTGAGACACTTCTTAGAGTTTATTCACCGGAATTACCCTGTGTATTTAGTTCCTTAGGTTGCTGATTTTGGGAACTAGTTCTCTGGTCTCTAAAGGACTAAGGTCAGCTAAGAAGCCTGTCCGTGTGTCAGACTGACCTCCTGTCTCTACTTGACATGATCTGAGGGTTGGCAGAATTTAGGTTGAAGGAGGGGGCAGGTTTCTAGTGGCGGCTCCGTGCGATAAGTTACATATCTATGGGCTGACAGATTGGCTGCGTTAGACGTTAGCTAAGTGTGGTCTCTCAGGATAAGCTTCACTTCTTACCATGGCAACCGCTGACATGGAGGACTTTCGCGTTGCTTTGGTGAGTGAGTGTGGTTCTGTGGGGTTCTGCAACTGTTGGAGGCAGGCTTGGCAAGCCCCCTTCTGGAACGGTGGCTGTGAGCAACTGTGAGGTGTTGGTCTCAGGGTTCACACCAAGGAGCGGCTGAGCCTCCCACGTTCAAGGGCAGGTATGTTTTGGCTGGTTTCTTGTTTTTCTTCGGGCCCAGTCTGTGTGGTTTTCCTTTGGGACAGCACTAAGCTCAAGCACCAGGACCTCCGTGGGCATCTAGGCTGCTGGACCAGGCCTTGTTGCTTGTCTAGCGCATGTGTTTTTGAAAATCTTCTCCGAGGTGCTTTGTCCTCCCTGAGCCAGTCCAGAAGCCCCTCGGGGGCTTGGCTGATATCCACAAGTCCAGGACCAGACTCAGAGTAGCCCCAGAACAAACTGGGGGTTAGTGGAATAGACGAAAATACCCTGCAGACCCACACTGCGTGGACGTGGGATGTCGCCTGCGTTGGTGCGGCATTTGTCTAACTCAGGGTACAATGTACATGGCCATCGTGACATTCTTTTATGAAAGGAAATGGGAAATGACAACTGTTTGATCCACAGGTACTTGTGAATTTCAGGGGCACGGGGGCCAGTGAGGCAGCCAGTTCCGTGATGATGCTCACTGTTTTGTCCCTGGTATTTGTCACTGCATTTGGTGTTGAGATGTTCCATTTGGGGTTTTTTGTTATGATCCTGCTTTAAATTGAGATTGTAGTCCACTCTGCGGTCTCCACAGGGGTGGAGGATTTTCACACCACAAGAGCCAATGTAAACGACAGGACTCCAGAGGTGAGCGTCAGAAAGGCTCCCCACCACCACACCCCAGCATGTCCTGCAGGCTGGCCGGAATGCGTTAGTCAGAAAAGAGGGTCCTCAACTTGTGTCTTTGAATGTCTCTCTGGAAGCCAGTCCCTGGATGTCATCCTGCTGCAGGCAGGGAGGCCTGGTGTCTGTCTCAGCTGCGTTCCTCCTCAGTGCCTGCCGATGCCCGCGGGATTGTGTCCCCTCTCTCTCCTCTCTGCCTGGAGGGGAATGGCGTCGGCTCCCGCCCCTGTGCTCCTGGCTGTGCCTGCTGAGAGGAGGGTTTATGATCACAACTCTTGCTGTCGCCTTTCCCTGTTCTGTTGTGTGCAAATTGGGATCACCGTGGTGGACTCTGGCTCCCATTGCCCTGGCATGGAGAAGGGGGGCAGGATAACCCATCCTATACGACAGGTGGCTAATGAGTAAGAAAATTATACCTGTGGTGCAGTAGAGTTTTTGGTGTGTGTTGTAAACATTTCGTGAAATTCCGGCCTGGCCAAGATGGCAAAACACCCATCTCTACTAAAAATGCAAAAATTAGCCAGGAGTGCTGGCGGGCTCCTGTGATCCCAGCTACTTGGGAGGCCGAGGCACGAGAATCACTTGAACTTGGGAAGGGGAGGTTGCAATGAGCGGAGGTTGCACCACTGCACTCCAGCCTGGGTGACTGTAAGATCCTGTCTCAAAAAAAAAAAAAAAAATTCATGAAATTGCCAAAATAGAATACAGTACTTGCTAGTATGGCTGTTAAATTTTCAGTTTCCTAGATCACGTGAAAATGGGTCTTCAAATGACAGATTGCATTAGGTATAAGCAGAAATGAAGGCACCGTTCTTCCGGGACGGAGCGTGATGCAGTGGGGGGTGGGGGGTGGGTGGTGGGGGCCTCCTACCCCAGTGGCCTGTGTTGGGGAGGCGCTGGACATAGTGGGGTGGGGTGTGGAGGCCTCCTACCCCAGTGGCCTGCGTTGGGGTTCTTTTGCCGCCATACCCCAGCTTCTGCCGAGAACAAAGAAACAGAGTGACTTAGTCGTTCTGGTGCTGGGGACACGTAATGTATCGTTTTTTCAGGAATCAGTATGAGAATGAGTTTGGAAAATTGCATTCTGTAGTCTGCATTCTGAACTTGACAAATGGTCTAGCATGCACCCCCAGTATTTCAGGGAGCAGAACCATTGTCAAATTCAGAGGCAGTTGAGGGACTGTCTGCCCTGTCATAAATGGCAGGAGCGTGTCTTGCCAGTAGCTGCTCGCCCTCATGTCCCCTTGGCCTTGCCAGCTTTGTGTGAAGGGATGACAGCCTCTGAAGGACTGTTTTTTGTGTTGAGAGTAACAGAAAATTCAGTTACTTCTAAACGCCTGTGCTGAGAGGTGACGTGCGTGCTTAGATTTTTTTTTTCCAGCCAGCAGTTGTGTTGTGTGTGCTGGGTGTTTCTGAGCCCCTGTGGCAGCAGAGGGAGGTGGAAAGCGAGCTGCCAGCAGGGCCTCTGCCCGGCCACCTGACACGTCCGAGGACAGCTTGTCCTGGGATGTTGCCCCGGCCCCTCTGCAGGCTGGGCCACGCTCCTGACCCATGGGCTGAGCCCGCTGCCAGGTTTAGAAAGTGCCCAGTGAGGGTTTCATCCTTTCCTGGTCTTCAGGGAATTCTACCATCTAACCTCAGGGATCTGTAAGAGCAAGACAATAGCTTTCCCTCTGCCCAGGCTCTGAGTACTGAAGGGTTTTCAGGCCAGGCTGTGGAAACTGGGTATTTTCTGAAACATAAAAGCGCAGCCCCACTCCTCCCACTCCAGGATTCCAGCTGCTGGGGAGGCGCCGTAGTTGCGAAGGCAGCACTGTTGTCTGGTGTGGTGTGGTGGCGAAGGCAGCACTGTTGTCTGGTGTGGTGTGGTGTGGCGTGGTGTGGCGTGGTGTGGTGTGCCGTGCCGTGCCGTGTCGGGCCGTGTGGTGCTGAGGCAGACAATAGGGTGGAGTTGTGGAGCTCTGGACTTGGGCACGAACACGCAGGCACACGTGCTGACCTCAGTCTTCATTACATGGGACCATCAGTGCTTGCCTAATCTTCACAAAATGGTGAGCAGACACGCATAACCGATGTCCAAAGGAAAGCAGAACGCCTGCAATCCAGTGCCATGTGGCTGAGGGGAGGAGCAGGGTCCACCCCTGCCAGCAGCTGGCTGTGAGGTCTGCGTAATGGCAGGCTGGGAGGGATCATGGCCATCCGCTCCAGCTGCCTCCTGGAGTTTGCAGTCAGTGGCTGTCAAGATGGCTTCCCAGGTCACCCATGAGTGCTGGTCAGAGGTGGCCGTGGTGTGTGTGAGGGGGGTCTCCTCCCTGCTGCTCGTATGTTGCCTCCCCTTCCCTGCCCGGGCATTGCAGCGTTTCCAGGGCCCTGGTGACTGCGTGCCCATCGGTCCCCTCCAGCTGCCCAGGCCACGGCATGGCTGTTGCTTAGCGAGCTGGAGTCACGCTGAGAGCAGCCATGCGAAGTGCTCCTTACCCCGATTTCGTGCTCTCTGTGAACCAGCCTTCTTTCCGCGCTGCCTTTCTGGCCCCCTTCGTGTGTCTGTGGAAGAAAGAAGCGGTTTTGGTGGCCACGAATTGTCAGTAGGGTGTGGTGTGTCGAGCTGTGAGCTTGCTTCAGGAGTACTCCATGGACTGGGGGTCAGCCCACTGGCCCAGGGGATCTGGCGCTATGATACTTCATTTGGCATCTGCCGTTATCGGGAATTCTTGAATTTCATCCATGCTGTAATTTCTTAGCTCATAACAACACCCAGTAAATTCCTGGTATGGCTTGGGATGCCAGGCCCTATGTTATTAGAATTACGATTTACTTATTTTCTATCTTGAAATATCTATTTTCCCCCAGTGTGCGCATGGGAGCTTAGAAGATCCCAAAAGTGTAACCCATCATAAATTAATCCACGCTGCCTCAGAGAGGGTGCTGAGTGATGACAGGACCATCCTGGAGGAGAACATCCAGGACCGAGGTAAGGGCTGCGTGGGTGGCTGGGTGTGGCGTCGGGCACCATGCCCTGGTGTGGGCACCAGAGCGGGGAGGGGCTCTGCACCCGTGGGGTCAGTATGCCGAGCCGGACAGGCGCACAGAACAAGAGCTACTGGAAGCACCCTGTTCTTCCTTTATTAGAGTTCTGTTATCGAATGTTTGTGAAAAGCAGCAGAAATTGAAATTGAACAAGCAGCAGACGTTTGAGAAGCCAAATGTGAATTTCGTTTTTGGTTCTGTTTCAAAGCAAACCAGAGACGAGACTCCAGGGGGCTCTGCAGGTGTTACTCTTGAATTGGACGTGGCTGTCGTGGTGATGGTTGCAGGCATCTTAGTGCGGCGTTAGATGCAACTCCGTTTACTTGCTTACGGTTTTGTGTCTGGAGACACTCGAAGAGCAAACCTCAGTTTTGTCTGTGTCATTCAAATAATGCCTTTAATTATGTAATTTCTTGAAGTAAGCTATTTTGAAAATCCTGAAAGTATTGCTAACAGATATCCACTGAGATGACCATCAAGCTCAAAGCCAGCACGGGATGGCCCCGCCATGGGCTGAGGGTGAGCCGGGACGGCCGCCACCGGGGGCTGAGGGTGAGCCGGTATGGCCCCACCGTGGGCTGAGGATGAACGACATCTCAGGTTTTGACTCATGAGGGTTAAGACAAACTCTCCAGCCTCACGGACTTTTTCAGAACTGAGGCGGTTAAAATGAGAGCCCTTTGCAGGATTGTGGCCAATTCTTTGTGCCATTATTAGGGCCATGCTGTGCACGGCGTCCGGGCCACGGGTCACCTGGGGGTTCTTGCCAGGCCTGGGAGCTTGTACCTCAGTCAGGGCCATGCAGACACCATGAAAAAGTGAGGGAAGGCTGGTGTAGATGCTTGGTTTGGGGGGGCCAGAGGAACCCCTGCTCTTTTGAGACAGGGTCTCACTGTTGTCCAGGCTGGAGTGCAGAAGCATAGTTGGGCTCACTGCTGCCTTGACCTCCTGGGCTCAAGCAGTTCCTCCCACCTCAGCCTCCCAAGTAGCTGGGACGACAGGCATGTGCCACCATGTGCAACTATTTTGTGCACTTTCATAGAGACGGTGTCTTGCCATGTTGTCCAGGCTGGCCTTGAACTCCTGGGCTCAAGTGATCCGCCTACCTCATCTTCTGGGAGTGCTGGGGTTACAGGAGTGAGCCTCTGCACCCAGCCGAACTCCTGCTCCTCCTCCTCTTTTTTTTTTTTTTTTAAGACAAAGCCTTGCTCTGTTTCCCAGGCTGGAGTGCAGTGGCGCAATCCCAGCTCACTGCAACCTCTGCCACCCAGGTTCAAGTGATTCTCCTGTCTTAGCCTCCCAGGTAGCTGTCAGCCATCAGGGGGGCTCCTCTCAGGACCTGGGTGCAGCCTGCATTCCTTCCCACATCCAGCCTTCTCCTCCTTCAGAGCCAGCAACAGTGTGATGGATATGCATGTTATTTTTTCTAGATGTCCTGTTATTGATAAAAAAGCGTGCTCCAGCACCACTTCCCAAGATGGCTGATGTCACAGCAGAAGAAAAGGTAAATTTCAAAGTTTGCAAAAGGGGACCTTGATTGGTAGAAGTCTACATTTAAGAATTATGAGGAAGTTCTCTGTGCTCGTTGTTCCCCAGCCCACACATTCGCCATTTACAGTGGATGTGGATATATAGGAGTTCTCGCTCCTGGCAGAGCCTGTTTAATCCATGTCAGCCCTTGTCCCTGCTCGTGGGACCAGCACAGAAAACCTGCCTGAGTTTTCTGAGACAGAGAGGAGAGTGGGGGCATGTCCTGTGTGACAGTTCTTTCCCTTGCTGCTGTCCGCCTTCACCTGCGTGTGCTCCTGTCCCTCCTGAAGCAGCCGAGTCAGTCCTGACAGAAGAACTAGGGAAGTTGGTAACCAGCCACCATACAGAATAAGGGCTGCGCGTGCAGAGAGCGGCGGGCGAGGGGGCGCTCTCACAAGCTCCGCTTGCACCACGCAGGCCCAGCATCCCCATCCGAAACTCCAAATGCGGAAACGCATCGAGCTCCAAAATGGAAATGCTTGTGTGTGCTTTTGGGTTTATTATTTGGAATGCAAATATTCCCAAATCTGAAAAAACCCGAAATCTGAAATAGTTCTGGTCCCCAGCACTTCAGATGGGGGATACTCAACCTGTACTCACGACACTAAGAGATGCTGAGTTTTGCCTGTCTTGTCTGTTTCTTGCAAAACAACTGGATGTCCTTGGAGTTTACGTTAACTCCCACGTTACCGATTCACAGTCTGTGCCTTCCACGTATCGCGCGTGCCTTAGGAAACCGTGAAGCGTGTTGCTTGCTGGCTGCCCAGAAGCCCATGCTTTGGAAAGCTCCCTGAGCAGAGGAAGACGTGTCCTGTAAGTGGCATCTTCTGCCCACCGGCAGGCACTGAGCACATGCCGAGCGTGGAGCCTGCCGTTCAGAAGGGCAGCAGCATTCCTCTTCTGTCTTTTCATGACTCATCCTGTGGGTAGAGTTTCTTATTTGTGCTTTGAGAGGTTAAGGAGAGTGTTCACCCCAGTGAAAGGGTGGGCCGAACTCTTCTGGGCAGGGCCCAGGCCTGGTAGTGCATAGCTGTTTTTGGGTTTCATCTGGGACTGTGGGTCCCCAGGAAGAGCGCCCCGGGCTTGGGTCCCCGTCTTATCTCCAGCCACACCTGGCACGTGTGAGTGGCACACAGGCTGCCGCTCCACCCATCTGCATGGACAGATCTGGGCATGCCTCCGCCTGCTGTCCTGAGTCAGGCCTGTTTCTGGGAACTGCCTCAGGCAGTATTCACAATTCTCAGATTACAGTTTGACGGTCGGTATTCAGACTACAGACTCGTAAGTCATAAATGGCGGGTCTGACCATCCAGCCGTTGCCCCGCAGCCTCCTGAATGGGTAGCTTGGAGCTAACTTGAGGAGCTTACCTTTTCTTTTCAAATATTTGCAAACTGAAACATTGTAAGATGTTAATTCATATTTTTTGAATTAATTTTTAATTTTGTTTTTGTTTTAGCGACAGGATCTCACTCTGTTGCCCAGGCTACAGTGCAGTGGTGCAGTCACGACTCATTGCAGCCTTGACCTCCTGGGTCCAAGCAGTCCTGCCTCAGCCTCCCAAGTAGCTGGGACCACAGGTGTGTGCCACCACACCCAGCTCATTTTTGTATTTATGAATTAATTTTTAAGTCAAAATAACATGTCTTTAAAAGGTCAAATAATACTACAAGTCTTTTAATAAAAAGGTGGCCCACGCCTGTAGTCCCAGCACTTGGGGAGGCTCAGGTGGGAGGATCACATTGAGCCCAGGAATTTGAGACCAGCTGGGGAAGCATGATGAAACCCTGTCTCTACAAAAAATATAAAATATAAAAAATTAGCTGGGCATGTTGGCAAAGCCTGGCGGTGCACAGCAGGCTGGAGTGCAGCTGTGTGATCTCACCTCACTGCAGCCTCTGTCTCCTGGGCTTAAGCCATCCTCCTGCCTCAGCCCCAGGAGTAGAGTAGCTGACACTGTAAGTGCGCACCACCACGCCCGACTAATTTTTGTATTTTTTGTAGACGTGGGGTCTTGCCATGTTGCCCAGGCTGGTCTTGAACTCCTGGGCTCAGACGATCTGCTCACCTTGGCATCCCAAAGTGTTGGGATTTCAGGCATGAGCCAGCATGTCTGGCCCAACCAATCATAACTCTTGTTATCTTTAACAATTCTCAGCTGGACACCGTAGCTCACACCTGTAATCCCAGCACTTTGGGAGGCTGAGGCAGGCAGATCATGAGGTCAGGAGATCAAGACCATCCTGGCCAACATGGCGAAACCCTGTCTCTACTAAACTACAAAAAATTAGCTGGGCATTGTGGTGCATGCCTTGTAGTCGCAGCTACTTGGGAGGCTGACGTGGGGAATCATGTGAACCTGGGAGGCAGAGGTTGCAGTGAGCCAAGATCGCCCCACTGCACTCCAGCCTGGCGACAGAGCGAGACTCCGTATCAAAACAACAACAAAACCAATCTCTTCCTGATTCGTAAATAGTGTATGTTGTCATTCCTTGAATCAACTTTAGTCTATTGCTGTCTTAATGGAGAGGATGCAGTGCCTCCCTCCCTCATCCCTTGAAGGTTGGATGGGAATTTTTGGTGAAGATTTCAGGGTTTTCGTTACTATTGCAACTGAAGTGTAGCTTTCAGCTGTGAGCAAAACATGTTGAGGTTATCCGTCCTGCTCACACAGCTTTGTTCGTCCTGGAATTCATACTTGCCTCATCTTTCCGTTTGCCTGTTGAGTTTCTCATAGGCTTATTGCTGATTTTTTCATGCTCTTCTACAGAGCTGATAAAGCTTCTGGAAACGTCACAGATGTGAGGTCGCCGGGGCACTCCCTTTCTTGGGGCACTGTCCCTCCAGGTTCCTCTGGCCCATGATCTGTCTGAGTCACTGCCTTTCAGGCAGCCTGGCTTTCCCGCCTCTCTCCTAGGTTAGAATTTGCTAAGTCTATGTGAGGTTTCTGTTGCCATCTAACAAATCGCCAGAAACGTATCTGCTTAAAACAGCCCTTGTCAGCTGGGCGCGGTGGCTCACACTTGTAATCCCAGCACTTTGGGAGGCTCAGGCGGGCAGATCACGTGGTCAGGAGTTGAAGACCAGACTGGCCAACATGGTGAAACCCCTTCTCCACTAAAAAAATACAAAAATTGCTGGGCATGGTGGCTCGTGCCTGTAATCCCAGCTACTTGTGAGTGTGAGGTAGGAGAATTGCTCGAACCGGGACCCGGGAGGCAGAGGTTGCAGTGAGGCGAGACCGCGCCGCTGCACTCCAGCCTGGGATACAGAGTGAGACTCCATCTCAAACTACAACAACGAAACAAAACCAGCGCTTGTTTTGTAGCTGGCAGTTCTGTAGGGCGGAAGCCTGCGGGGTGAGCTCAGCTGGTTTCTGTGCTCAGGGTCTTGAGCTGAAATCAGGGTGTTGAAGGGCTGCGTTCCTTTCCGAGGCTCTGGGAAAGAGTCTGCTTCCGAGGTCTTCCGGCGGTCGGCGGAGTCCAGTTCCAACCCATTTTCTTCTGGGGGCCTGGGTGCAGCCCGCATTCCTTCCCACATGGCCACCTCCTCCTTCAGAGCCAGCAACAGGATTTCTTAAGTGTTGAATTTCTTTCCAGAAAGAGACCCATCCCTTTTAAGGGCCTGCCTGATTAGGTGAGGCCCGCTAAGCGTCATGCTCTTTCCCCAAAGTCGGCTGTGCTCCATGACGTAACCTGACCCCATAGTGGACCGTGTCCTGCTCACGCTCTGGTCATGCGCAGGTGAGTGCCAGGCCTGCCACAGAACCAGGTGTCTTGTTCTCGACCTGTCCCTTGGTGTGATGGAACCTGACTCCCTCTAGTGCCCGGGAGGAGAACCCGCTGGAGGCCGTGCATTCCAGCGCAGGAGCTGTGGAGGCGGTGCCAGGCATGTGCAGTACTCCAGGCTCTCTGAGCCGCTCCTCCCTATGCCAGCTGCCTCCCTTCCTCTGCTCCTTCTGCAACCTTCTGCCATCTGGCGTGCTTTAGTGTTCTGGAATATTCCATGGTGTCCTGCTGCAGGTCTTTTTCTCTTTGCTATGCCTGGCACGTTGACTGGAGATTCAGATGTCTGAGTTCTGGCAAATTTAGTTCTGGAAAAGTTCTGAATTGGTTTTTTCATCTCCTTGTTTTCTTTTCTCTTTCTGTAACTCTTACGGGTTGGCTGGTGGGCCTGTTTTCTGAGGGATTCCTTGACTGTATCTTCCAAGCATTCTGTAGCCTTTTTGACCTGGCTGTAACATTTAAATTCCTCGGCAGCTTCTCCTCGGATCACGTCTTCTAGTGCTCAGGTGTGTTCGTCGTTGCCTGCGGGCCGTGTGTCCTAGCTCATGGACGCTGTCCTCTTCCCTGCTGGCTCCTCCCTTCGTGCTCCTTTCTGTTCCTGATTTTTGTTTGTTTGAGAGTGGCACCCCCAGCACCATCGACAGCAGCAGGGGCATGGGGGCAGGGACAGGGAAACCCAGCAGCAGGGCTGCGGGCCGCTCTGTCACTCACCCAGGCTCTAGTGCAGGCAGTGGCGTGATCTCAGCTCACTACAACCTCCGCCTCCCAGGTTCAAGCGATTCTCCTGCCTCAGGCTCCCAGGTAGCTGGCGGCCATTGCGGGGGCTCCTCTCAGGACCTGGGTGCAGCCTGCATTCCTTCCCACACTCCTCCTTCAGAGCCAGCAACAGGGTTTCTTAACTGCTGAATCTCTCTTTCCAGAAAGAGACCCATCCCTTTTAAGGGATTACAGGTGTACATTGCCATACCTGGCTTATTTTGTATTTTTAGAGATGGGGTTTCACCATGTTGGCCAGGCTGATCTGGAACTCTTGACCTCAAGTGATTCACCCACCTTGGCCTCCCAAAGTGCTGGGATTACAGGCGTGTGCCACTGTGCCCAGCCTGTTCCTGTTCTTATTTGGGTTTTTGTCTTTCATGCTGGAAGCTTTCCTTAAACGTCTGGCTGGCTGTCCATGGCTGAATGCCACCTTCCAGAGGATCTGGATCTTGTTTGCAGCGCTCTGGGACTGGGCGCTGCCCTGTGGGTGCAGACCCTGCCATTTTGCCCTCTCCCACCTCATGACTGTGTCTGCCCTGCACCCCTGCTGCTGGGCCTCCCTGTCCCTGCCCCTCACCCCTTCTGCTGGTGTCCCTGTCCCTCACCCCTGCTGCTGGGCCTCCCTGTCCCTGTCCCACGCCCCGGCTGCTGTTGATTATGCTGGGGGTGCCACTTTCCCTCACATGAGCCTAGGGCTCTTGGCTCGGGGTCTCAAGCCCAGCTCTCTGGGAGTTGCTGGCAGGGCTGGGTGGCAGGGGAGTGTAGGGCAGGGCGGCAGGGGATGGAGCACCAGCTCCTGAGGCTCGCTCCCTGTCCCTTGCCACCGATGCAGGTCTAGGAGGCTGGAACGGTCTTGCGTCCATGCTCTGCTCTTGACCTGAGCCTTTGCACCCTGCTGGTCCCTCCATCCTTGGCCATCTTGTGAGAACGTGCTGTCACTCTTCTGGCTCTCTTCCTCTCCCATCGTTTTTGTTCTTGCGCGTTTCTATCGGCGTTACTGCACATGAGGAGCTTCCAGAAGGAGCAGAGATGAGTTTGCGGCTTTGGCCTCAGGGCTCAGTTGCAGGCCAGGTGGTTCCTCTGGAGTCGCCCCCCTCGCTGCAGCCCCGTGTGACGGTTGTTCTGTGGCCCTTGCTCCCGCTCTGCCCCTCACCCACCACTTCACTCTCCTTTACGGCAGAGCAGTTGTGTCGTCAGCATCACAGCTCGTCTGCTGTCCCGGGGCCTTGCCCAGAACTCTCCGGGCTCCCCCAGCTCATCAAGGCGTTTACATCTCTGGCTCCTAAAGGAGACGGAGTCTTTCCTGGGCAGAGCTCTGCTGACTCAGTTTTCATCCTCTTGCCCTTTCTGCTTTCACATTTATCTCTGACTTTCTGGTTACTTTTCTGTGTAGAAAAAACAAGACCAGAAAGCTCCAGATAAAGATGCCATCCTCCGGGCCACTGCCAACCTGCCCTCCCACAACATGGACCGAGCCGTGGTCCAGACCAACATGAGAGATGTGAGTGTCGGCCCAGAGCGGCATGGGGTCCCCACGGGGTGCGGTAGCAAGAGCTGATCCCCTAGAAGTCTTTGGGGAAGCCAGTGAGGGTTCTACAGGACTGTACTACTTTGCATGTTTTCTGTAAATCGAAAATGATTTCTAAGTAAGAAGTTGGAAAGCCGTCTGAAGGCAGGACCAAAAAGATAGATGCCCCTGGGAAAACCTCAGTCTGGCCCTGAGTTTGGCAAAACTCTTAGAAATCTGAACCTGTGAGTTACTTTGGATCAGAACATCCTAAGTTAAAAAAGAAAAGTGTTTGCCGTGCTCACGTGGGCGCCCCAGTAGGCAGGGCAGGCGCGAGCTGTGCCAGGGTGGGAGGACTGCTGGCTTCCAACTCCATCTGATGCCAGTCCGACCTAAGGGCACTGCCCTGAGCGCTGGTTCATTTTAGGAGTGAACTTCCCGGGGTCTCTTCCAGAGAGTTCATGCTGACCACGGCATGGTGGCTTTTCCCCAATGGCCAACGTGTGTTTCCCCCATCTTGTGTGTGTCCAGCTCAGAGGTATTTCTCTAGTGTGGTGTCCGCACCGAGGCTCACGCTTGTGTGAGAGAAGAGATGGCTGACCTCCGACCTCTAGGCCCCGTAGCCAGGAGCTGTCCTAGAGGGCATCTGTCGTCCATCCCTAGTCCGTCCCAGCACTCCTCCTGCGGGGGGGTGGAGAGTGACGGGCCACTGCAGACACTGAGTGGCAGCCACGCCTCTGCCAGGGGCTGGCAGAACTCGTGGCTGTGGAGCCTCAGATCAGTCTGTGTTCTTCAGTGAAGCCGAGAAGGGGCTTCAGCTTGCCACGCACCTGCGCCAGCTGGACCGGTGGTTTCCTCACTGGACCAGGCTGAGCATCAGGCCAGCGCTGAGTGACCATGACCAGGCATTCCTGTCCCTTTCTGCTGGCTTCATTCCCACCTGCAGGGAGGCTGTTGGCCCTGCTGATCCCCCGCGTTGTCCTCAGCTGATCCTGCTGTCCTGCAGGAAGGCATGTCGTCTCTGCCCTCAGAATCAGCGTTCCAGGACGGGAGCAAGTCATGCGTCCAATACATCCAAGCAGGTTTGCTGCGCAGTTAGAGAATTGATCTTTTTTTCACCACAGTTCCAGACAGAACTCCGGAAGATACTGGTGTCTCTCATCGACGTGGCGCAGAAGCTGTTAGCGCTGAACCCGGATGCGGTGGAATTGTTTAAGAAGGCGAATGGTATGAGCCAGCCCCGGTGGCAGCAGGTGCTGCGTTCCCACCCTGTGGCGCCTCCGTGCTGATGAGGGCCTGGGGGCTGCCCCACTCCTGTCCATACGCCTGAGGGTGGGCGGGCAGGTGGAGCTCAGATACTGGGAGGTCTCCGATGATTGCTGAAAATGTTTGTGCTCAGATAAGGTCCCTGAGCCCAAGGCTGCAGCCCTCATGACCCTGTCATCTCCCCTCAGCGATGCTGGACGAGGATGAGGATGAGCGTGTGGACGAGGCCGCCCTGCGGCAGCTCACGGAGATGGGCTTTCCCGAGACCAGAGCCACCAAGGCCCTTCAGCTGAACCAGTGCGTGGGAGTCACCCCTGCCCTTGCTGGAGACACGTGGGGCCTGGGCTTGTGGGGCTCCCCCTGCGGGTGATGGCCTCCCACCCTAAACTCTCTGTTTGGCGGAATCATTTCTAATATGTATGGGGTTTTGAAGAGGTTCCTTAAATGTGTGCCTCCAAAGCATTTTTGGGGTGCATGTGAGAGAACAGTCGTTCTGTGAATTCTCTTTGTGCCGTTGTATGAGAACTCCAGTGAAGTCTCTAACAGTCTTCTCTGAGTTCCCGTGTGAGTCACCTGCCCTGCCTCTGTGTTCAGATCTAAAATGAGTCATCCATAAGCCCGGGACAGCCATACCTAAGCTCTCAGCAGAGACCTCCGGGTCCGCTTGCCTCTCCTTAGAAATGGGCTTCTGTTTCTGCCCAGGGTCTCAAGGTAGTTTCAGGCAAGGACCCGAGCTTCAGCTGCACCTGTGTTCATTCAGGTTCTCACTACGAGGGTCAGCAGCTGATGCTGGAGAAGTCACTTCCATAGCAGAGGCTCTTCCTGGGGATGCGGGAGGCAAAGGCCCTGCTCCGTTACGCTGGGGGTGTTGGAAAGAAGACAGGAGAGGAGAGGAGGGGAGGGGAGGCGAAGAAGGTCCTTTCTACTTCCTGGGAGTGGACAGGAGGGGAAGGTCCGTTAGGCTGGGGTGTTGGAAAGAGTGTCTTGCCTTGCAGCATGTCGGTGCCTCAGGCCATGGAGTGGCTCATCGAACATGCAGAAGACCCGACCATAGACACGCCTCTTCCAGGCCAAGCCCCCTCAGGGGCCGAGGGGGCCGCAGCAGCCAGCTCCGAGGCCGCCGCAGGAGCCAGCAGCACTGACGAGGAGGCCAGAGATGAGCTCACGGAAATCTTCAAGAAGATCCGGAGGAAAAGGGAGTTTCGGGCCGATGCTCGGGTATGTGTTACTAGACCTGTCGCCAGGCAGAGTCGCTGTGTCTTTCCTTGAGGTCGAGCCATGTAAAGGAGGCTGGGGCTGCGAGGCTGACCTTGGGCTGAGCTGGCTCTTGTCGCAGGAGAGAGAGAAGCTGGGGAAGGCGTTTACAGGCGGGCCTGGGAAGAGGCGAGCCTGGGGTCTGGCCGGAGTTCCTGAGCGTGCCTGTGCGTTACCCTCGCTTGAATCCAGGCGGCCCCGGCCCAGTGTCCTCTGCGTCGCCACATTTGTCACCTTTTACAGTTCCTGTGGACCGTGAGCGGCACCTGTTCGGCAGCCTCTCTGTGGGGAGGCCCTGCCCAGAGACCAGAGGCTCATTCGCCGTGGGGCTGCCCGTGAGTGAGGGGCGGCTCAAGCCGGCCAGCCGCTTCCGTGGCGCCGTCTGCAGAGGGCTGAAGGGTCCCTGCGCCTGTGCGTGTGGGACTTCCTCGCTGGCACCTTGTGGTTGATGTCACTGAGTCTCCCTGTTCTTCCTTCACTCTCCTGTTCTTTGATGCGAGTTTACTTCCTCCTTTGAGGTTCTGTCCCACCGGCTTAGATGGTAGATCCACTCCCTCGGGCGCTTCCGTCTGCGTACTCTCATCTCACGTGTGGCTGCGATTGTTTCCTGGGGGGGTGACATGCATTGTGGCCCCACCTTCGGGGCTTGTGTTTCCCATGGAGTTCCATGTGGCCAGGCTGTAGACATCGACCTGGGGTGATTCGAGTTGCTTCTGCTGGTTGTGAGTGGGGCCCCGCCCCCCACGCCCTGCAGTGTAACCCCTAGCTTCCCAGCTCACGTCTTCCCTGCACAGGGTCCGTGGAGACAAATGGTTTTCTTTCTTTTAAAATGTAATTTAATTTAAGTTCCGGGATACACGTGCAGGATGTGCAGGTTTGTTACACAGGTAAGCATGTGCCATGGTGGTTTGCTGTACCTGTCAACCCATCACCTAGGTATCAAGACCAGGTTGCATTAGCTATTTATCCTGATGCCCTCCCTCCCTGACCCCTGACAGGCCTCAGTGTGTGCTGTTCCCCTCCCTGCGTTCTCATTTTTCAGCTCCACCTGAATATGTGAGGTGTTTGTTTTTCTGTTCCTCCGTTAGTTTGCTGAGGATGGCTCTCGTTCCTTTTTACGGCTGCGTAGTATTCCATGGTGTCTGTGTCCCACATTTTCTTGATCCTGTCTGTCTGGTTTCTTTCCTTACCCATGGGTATTTGGGGTGATTCCATGTCTTTGCTGTTGTGACTAGTGCTGCAGTGAACATGTGTGTGCATGTATCTTTATAATAGAATGATTTCTCCTCCTGTGGGTGTGTACTCAGTAATGGAATTGTAGGGTGAAATGGTATTTCTGTTTCCATGTCTCTGAGGAATCACCACATGCCACACTGTCTTCCATAGTGGTTGAACGAATTTGCATTCCCGCCAACTGTGTAAAAACGTTCCTGTTTCTCCACAGCCTCGCCAACATCTGTTGCTTCTTGACTTTTTAATCACCATTCTGACTGGCATGAGATGGTATCTCATTGTGGTTTTGATTTGCATTTCTCTAACGATCAGCGATGTTGAATTTTGCTCTGTCACCCAGGCTGGAATGCAGTGGCGCGGGCTCACTGCAACCTCCACCTCCCAGGTTCAGTTGATTCTCCTGCCTCAGCCTCCCAAATGCTTGGGACTACAGGCACACACCACCATGCCCAGCTAATTTGTGTATATTTAGTAGAGACATGGTTTCCCCATGTTGGCCAGGCTGCTCTCAAACTCCCGACCTCAAGTGATCTGCCTGCTTCCGCTTCCCAAAGTGCTGGGATTATAGGCGTGAGCCACTGTTCCCAGCCAGATGTCTTCTTTTGAGAAGTGTCTGATATGTCCTTTGCCCACTTATTGGGGTTGGTTGTTTCTTGTAAATGTGTTTATTCCGTGTAGATTCTGGATGTTAGCCCTTTGTCAGGTGACTGGATTGCAGAAATGTTCTCCCATTCCGCAGGCTGTCGGCTCACTGAGGGTAGTTTTTTTCTGTGCAGAAGCCCTTCAGTTCAGTTAGATCTCGTTGAGACAAATGCTTTTCCAGTCCATCTTCTCATCTTTTCAGGGTCCTGGTTTTGAGTGAGGGTCTCAGTTCCCACTCCCTACCTCCCACGGGCTCAAGGTGCACGTTCTGTGTGTGTGGACATGAGACCCTACCCTCCCAGGGCAGCCCTGCTCACACCCTCTCACAGGGCTAGCTTTCTGTCTGTTCCTTCTTGGTTTTTATCGCTTGTGGATATCCCTTTCTTGTGAGTTTAGTTACACATTTAAAAGTTTCGTTTCGTCTTTGTTTTTCTTTTGAGACTGAGTTTCACTCTGTCACCCAGGCTGGAGAGCAGTGGCACAGTCATGGCTCACCGCAGCCATGATCTCTTCGGCTCAAATGATCCTTGTAGCTACCTGAGTCTCCTGAGTAGCTCTTGCAGGTATGCACCACCACACCAGGCTAATTTGTTAATTTTAAAAATTGTGTACAGATAGGGATCTCCCTGTGTTGCCCAGGCTGGTCCTGAACTCCTGGCCTCAAGTGGTCCGAAGTGCCGGAATTACAGGCATGAGCCAGTGTGCCCTGCCTAAAAGCATTTTTGCTTTATTTCCATCTAGCGTTTCTAGGTGTAGCAAGAAGTTTGTCTCGCTGTCCTTGACTCCCAGGGAGCCAAGTTCACATGTGGTCCTGGAAGCCTGTCCGGGCGGAGCGGCCGCTCTCCAGCTGGTCCTTCGTGCTCTGAGGTTGGACTTGGCACGCTCCTGTGTTGTGGTTCTGCACAGGCTCTGAGAGGTTGTTCCCCATATTCTTTCTTGGCATCTTAAGCCTTTTTGTTAAATACAGATGCTCATTCTTAACAATTTTAATGTGCTCATTTTCCAAGATCCTCCCCATTGCCGTTCCTTCTGGTCGTCTCTCTGTGTCAGAACGTTCCATAGAATATCTTCTTTGATGACAGTCATTCAAGGTGGTCCGGGCTTGAGGGGCCAGCATGTCAGCCCTTCTACCCTTCAGCTTCTTTCCAAGTTCTGAGATCAGGCAGTGGTCTGGCAGGGATCGAGATACTAGCTTAGTGACCGGGAAAGGGTTGGAGAGCTCTGACTTGAGGCCAGACAGCCTTCCCGCTGCCCCCTCCCCCAGCGGTGGAGCCTTCCCGCTGCCCCCTCCCCCAGCAGTGGACAGGGTACGTACCTGCTGTCCAGGGGCAGAGCTGGCAGGGCCCCAGCGTGCAAGGCCCCCTCCCAAAGCTGCCCAGGTCTTTGCCCCGTGCGCTGGGAGGCAGGGCGCGGCTGCCCTGTTGCCTCGGGAGTACTGGGGATTGTTTCCTAGGCTGAGGTAGAAACGAGGGCGAGGGCTTCCTGCTTTTGAAGTCAGTAGATGCCAGGCTATTTTGTATGACTTTGATATCAAAATATCGTATGGTGGGTTCTTCTTCTAGAGTTCATTCATTGTTGGAGCTCCCGAACTTAGGAAGTGGCTCAGGAAGGCAAGTGCGACGGGCCGTAAATAGAAGAATAGAACACGCAGACTTTGGTTTTTTGAGACGGAGTCTCGCCTGTCACCCAGGCTGCAGTGCCGTGGCGCTGTCTCCGCTCACTGCAACCTCCAACTGCCGGGTTCCAGCAATTCTCCTGCCTCAGTCTCCCGAGTAGCTGGGATTACAGCTGTGCGCCACCATGCCCAGCTAATTTTTGTATTTTTAGTAGAGATAGGGCTTCCCCACTTTGGCCAGGCAGGTCTCGAATTCCTGACCTCAGGTGATCCTCCTGCCTGAGCCTCCCAAGGTGCTGACATTGCACGCATGAGCCACCGCACCTGGCTGGGACTTTTGAACTGACCACGCACAAATTTATCTCCAGCCAGCATCCTTCCTGAGCTCTGCTCATAGCTGAAGTCTCATTCTGCCCGGTTCTCTTTGAAGCATCTGACAGTGAGTTCAGACTGGCTGTGGACACGCACGGTCCATGGGGTGCGGTGCTGCATGAAGTCAGCCCGGGGGCTGCTGGGAGCTCTGTGGGGCCAGCACTCTGAGACCAGCTCATGGTGGCCGGAAAACCACCAAAGAGAGAGAGGACTCGGGGGCGTCAAGAGAGCGGGGGTCTGACCTTTCAGGGATTAGGAGTGGCCCTTGAAATTTTGACGAAGCCTTCATTTTATTCTATTTTTTTAAAATGGACCCCTTTAAACATTGTGTTATAGATCTCCAGGGTAAAGGGTGTATTATCTCGTTACGTGATTGCTGTCCAGAAAATATATGTCCTTCCTCCAGAATGAGTTAGCCTATGTTTAGTTGTAGCTTAAGTTTTGTTCAAAAGTAAAAGTTAAAAAATTAGTGTTAAGATTTTCTAAGATAAAAATCTGAATAAAACCTTTTTTTCACAGATCACAATGACACGTTCCTTTGCATTGAAATTGCATTTTCTGACGTGGCCTTTGTTAATCCCACTTACTCTTGGCTAACAAGGCCCTCTGGGGTCAGCCTGCAGTGGCTGCTGAGATGGTCTTACCCACATAGTCACCGGGACAAACCTGAAAGAGTCCGAGGTTGGCCTGACTGCCTCGTGTCCACATGAGCGATGCGTTTATGCCCGCCACAACCTGCGGCTCCCTGAAGACAAGCCCGGGGGCTGCACTGACCCCCTGGCTCTGCTGACTACGGTCAGACTCGCACTTCCTGGGCTTTAGGATGCCTCAAACCAAGATGTATTTCAGTAGAGCTCTGAGCAGGGAGAACTTGGATGGGGAACATCTGGTGCTGTTTGGAGCCCATCCACTAGGGTGCCGTGGAGCAGGGTGGCCTCCCTGCATGCGGGAGCTGGTTGCTCGGCCTCCTGCCTTGCAGCGAGCTCACGGCTATGCTCTCCTCTAGGCCGTCATTTCCCTGATGGAGATGGGGTTCGACGAGAAGGAGGTGATAGATGCCCTCAGAGTGAACAACAACCAGCAGAACGCTGCGGTGAGTGTCGGGCAGCAGTGAGTGAGTGCTGGGCTGGGTGAGTGAGTGCTGGGCTGGGTAAGTGAGTGCTGGGCTGGGTGAGTGAGTCCTGGGCTGGGTGAGTGCTGTGCTGTGTTGGGTGAGTGCTGTGCTGTGTTGAGTGAGTGCTGTGCTGGGTGAGTGAGTGCTGTGCTGGGTGAGTGAGTGCTGGGCTTGGTGAGTGAGTGCTGGGCTGTGGTGAGTGAGTGCTGGGCTGTGGTGAGTGAGTGCTGGGCTGGGTGAGTGAGTGCTGGGCTGGGTGAGTGCTGTGCTGTGTTGAGTGAGTGCTGTGCTGGGTGAGTGAGTGCTGTGCTGGGTGAGTGAGTGCTGGGCTTGGTGAGTGAGTGCTGGGCTGTGGTGAGTGAGTGCTGGGTTGGGTGAGTGAGTGCTGTGCTGTGGTGAGTGCTGTGCTGTGATGAGTGAGTCGTGGGCTGGGTGAGTGTGTGCTGGGCTGTGGTGAGTGTGTGCTGGGCTGGGTGAGTGCTGGGCTGAATGAGTGAGTGCTGGGCTGTGGTGAGTGAGTATCTGGGTGAGTGAGTGTCGGGCTGTGGTGAGTGAGTGCTGGGCTGTGGTGAGTGAGTGCTGGGCTTGATGGTGGGCTGCGGTGAGTGAGTGCTGGGCTTGGTGGTGGGCTGCGGTGAGTGAGTGCTGGGCTGGGTGAGTGGGTGCTGGGCTGTGGTGGGTGAGTGCTGGACTGGGTGGTAGGCTGCGGTGAGTGAGTGCTGGGCTGGGTGAGTGAGTGCTGGGCTGTGGTGAGTGAGTACTGGGCTGAGTGAGTGCTGGGCTGTGGTAAGTGCTGGGCTGTGGCGAGGGAGTGCTGGGCTGGGTGAGGGAGTCCTGGGCTGAGTGAGTGCTGGGCTGGGTGAGTGAGTGCTGGGCTGAGTGATTGAGTGCTGTTCTGAGAGTTCGGCTGTGAGTGAGTGCTGGATTCGGTGAGTGAGTGCTGGGCTCAGCGAGTGAATGCTGGGCTGGGTGAATGACTGATGGGCTGTGGTGAGTGAGTGTTGGGCTGTGGTGAGTGCGTACTGGGCTATGGTGACTGCTTGGCTGGGTGAGCGAGTGCTGGGCTCGGCGAGTGAATGCTGGGCTGGGTGAATGACTGATGGGCTGTGGTGAGTGAGTGCTGGGCCATGGTGAGTGAGTGCTGGGCTGGGTGGTGGGCTGTGGTGAGTGAGTGCTGGGCTGTGGTGAGTGAGTGCTGGGCTGTGGTCAGTCAGTGCTGGACTGGTGAGTGAGTGCTAGGCTCTGTGAGTGAGTCTTGGGCTGGCTGAGTGCTGGGCTGGGTGAGAGTACTGGGCTGGGTGAGTGAGTCCTGGGCTGGGTGAGTGAGTGCTGGGCTGGTTGAGTGCTGGGCTGGGCTGAGATAGTGAATGTCAAGCTGTGGTGAGTGAGTGCTGGGCTGTGGTCAGTGAGTGTTGGGCTGGGTGAGTGACTGCTGGGCTGTGGTAAGTGAGTGTCGGGTTGTGGTGAGTGCGTACTGGGCTTTGGTGACTGCTTGGCTGGGTGAGTGAGTGCTGGGCTGTGGTGTGTGAGTGCTGGGCCGGGTGGTGGGCTGTGGGTGTGAGTGCTGGGCTGTGGTGAGTGTTGGGCTGGATGAGTGAGTGCTGGGCTGTGGTCAGTCAGCTCTGGGCTGGGTGAGTGAGTGCTAGGCTGTGTGAGTGGTCCTGGGCTGGCTGAGTGCTGGGCTGGGTGAGTGAGTGCTGGGCTGGGTGAGTGAGTCCTGGGCTGGGTGAGTGAGTCCTGGGCTGGGTGAGTGAGTGCTTGGCTGTGGTGAGTGAGTGTCGGGCTGTGGTGAGTGCGTACTGGGCTGTGGTGACTGCTTGGCTGGGTGAGTGAGTGCTGGGCTGTGGTGAGTCAGTGCTGGGCTGGGTGCTAGGCTGTGGCGAGTGAGTGCTGAGCTGTGGTGAGTGAGTGCTGGGCTGGGTGAGTGAGTGCTCGGCTGGGTGGTGGGCTGTGGTAAGTGAGTGTCGGGCTGTGGTGAGTGAGTGTCGGGCTGTGGTGAGTGAGTGCTGGGCTGGGTGAGTGAGTGCTGTTCCGAGTGTCAGGCTATGGTGAATGAGTGCTGGGCTCCGTGAGTGAGTTCTGGGCTGGGTGAGTGACTGCTTGGCTGTGGTGAGTGAGTGTCGGGCTGTGGTGAGTGCGTACTGGGCTGTGGTGACTGCTTGGCTGGGTGAGTGAGTGCTGGGTTGCGGTGAGTCAGTGCTGGGCTGTGGTGAGTGCTGGGCTGGGTGCTGGGCTGTGGTGAGTGCTGGGCTGGGTGCTGGGCTGTGGTGAGTGAGTGCTGGGCTGGGTGAGTGAGTGCTGGGCTGAGTGAGTGAGTGCTGGGCTGTGGTGAGTGCTGAGCTGTGTTGAGTGAGTGCTGGGCTGGGTTAGTGCTGGGCTGTGGTGAGTGAGTGCTGGGCTGGGTGAGTGCTGGGCTCTGGTGAGTGAATGCTGGGCTGGGTGAGAGTCCTGGGCTGGTTGAGTGAATCCTGGGCTGGGTGAGTGCTGGGCTTGGTGAGTGAGTGCTGGGCTCGATGAATGAGTCTTGGGCTGGGTGGGTGCGGGGCTCGGTGAGTGAGTGCTGGGCTGGATGAGTGAGTCCTGGGCTGTGGTGAGTGAGTGCTGGGCTATGGTGAGTGAGTGCTGGGCTGGGTGCTGGGCTGTGGTGAGTGAGTGCTGGGCTGGGTGAGTCATTGCTGGTCCGAGTGTCAGACTGTCGTGAATGTGTGCTGGGCTTAGTGAGTGAGTGAGTGCTGGGCTCGGCGAGTGAGTCCTGGGCTGGGTAAGTGAGTGCTGGGCTGTGGTGAGTGAGTGTCAGGCTGTGGTGAGTGAGTACTGGGCTGTGGTGAGTGAGTTTGGGGCTGTGGTGAGTGAGTTTGGGGCTGTGGTGAGTGAGTGTTTGGCTGGGTGAGTGAGTGGTGGGCGGGGTGGGTGCTGGGAGCGTCACTCCTGATTGCCTGTGCATGGCGGAGGCCGTGTGTTTGCTTGCTTCCACGTGCGGTGAAGTGTGTGGCTGTTTAAGTGAAATAATAGGGTAGCTGTCTCAAAGAATACAAAAATTTAAAAACACAAAATTCTAGTCTTTTTTTTTTTGAGATGGAGTCTTTCTCTTGTTGCCCAGGCTGGAGTGCAGTGGCGTGATGTCGGCTCACTGCAACCTCTGCCTCCTGGGCTCAGGCAGTTCTCCTGTCTCAGACTTCCAGGTAGCTGGGATTCCAGTCATGCACCACCATGCCCAGCTAATTTTTTTTGTATTTTTAGTAGACACGATGTTTCCCCATGTTGGTCAGGCTGGTACTGAACTCTTGACCTCATGATCTGCCTGCCTCCCAAAGTGCTGGGATTACAAGTGTGTGCCACTGCGCCCGGCCTAGGCTTTGTCTTTCTAAAATGGTGCCTTATGTGTACATACTCTATGGATAGGTAATTTGTACATTTATCTGCTCACGCTGGTCTTGACCTCCTGGCTTTAATTGGTCCTCCTGCTTTGGCTTCTGAAGTGCTGGGATTACATGCATGAGCCACCACACCCAGCCCGTTTATATTATTAAACTGACTCAGAATGATTCTTGTCCTGTGCCTGGGTGCCAGCTGGGCTGATGGAACTCTGCCTGGGGAGGGCCCCGTGGTGACCAACACCACCCCCCACTCACCAGCGGAGCTGGCAGCTCACAACTCCAAAACGGAGATGAGGAGCCTGTATCCTAATGTCTCCAGCACTACTGACTGCCTGTAACAGGACCACAGGCAAGCTGGGTGCTTGGTACGTTTGTTAATTACCTTCCCGACACTCCTCGGTGGACTATGCTGGCCCATGCTGGCCCAGGTAACCGGGGAAGCGGCAGCCGTCAGTGATGTCTGCACTGTCTCTTCTTACTCTCTCTGGCCTGGTCTGACATGCACAGCAGTGAATCTGGGCTGGGTTTGTCTTCATGGTAGGGTCCCTTCCAGTGAGAGCAGCCTTGGGGCCTCAACAGGAACTCACGGCAGGGTGCCGGAGCAGCCCTTGTGCTTGCTGCTGGTGGTGTCTTGCAGACGCACTGAAGGGCTAATGGTGGCATTGGTGCTCTTGGCTTTGCAGTGCGAGTGGCTGCTGGGGGACCGGAAGCCCTCCCCGGAGGAGCTGGACAAGGGCATCGACCCCGACAGTCCTCTCTTTCAGGCCATCCTGGATAACCCAGTGGTGCAGCTGGGCCTGACCAACCCGAAAACATTGCTAGGTATGTGCACCTTCTTCACACTCACTCGCGGTGGGGGAGGCTGGCCGTTCCCTCGCAGGACATGCAGGTGCCGCGGAGGTGACGCGGAGGATCCTGCGCTGAGGGTCGCTGTGCCCTGGTGGCATGTCCTGCCATGCACCTTGGCATCCTGCAGGTGTAGCTCTGCTGTGTTACTGTGGGGCCTGCAGGTCAGGTTCTGATTGCAATGTGACTGTCTCCTGCGCGATGACGCTCATACAGGCTTCAGAAAACCGGTGCCAGTGGCTTCCCAAGGGCCAGCAGGGTAGAGACTGCACCAGCAGCTTAAGAACTCACGTGAGGACAAGGCGTGGTTTGGGCTTTTGGTCTTACTCTTTGTCAGGGACTTCACTGGTAATTGTTTATTTTTGTTGTGAGATACTACATACAAAAGTATATATGATGCTATAACTTTAAAGAATAAAACTAATAGCCATGTATCTGCCATTCAGCTCTGGGTCTGGGGTGCCCCTCCCTCCAGTGTGGCCATCGCTATTGCCACGGCTTACCTCTCTGCTTCCCTGTAGAGTTTTCTCGTATTTGTGTCTCCTCAAACAATCTCTCATTTGTTGCTGCCTTTGTGTAAGCAGAATCACGTTTCAAACAGGCCTCTGTGACTGACTGACTACATTCTTTGTGGGAGTTGTGGAGTAATTCGTTGATGGAAGGCACCGGGGAACTGATGGTCCTTGGGGTGTCTGCATGTGGTGCTGTTCTTAGTGTTCTCATTGCCAGGGAGCTGGGATGAGGGTTTCTCTAAGCCGAATACCTAGGGCTGGGATTGCAGGGTTCCTGCTGGTCCCCAGGAGCCAAGGCCCTGGACGTTGGGAGGACCTTTGCTACCTGAGTAGGCTGGAGGTGTCTCTGGTGCTGTGACAGCCATGCCCTGATCTTGATTAAAGGCTGGCCTTCTTTCAGAAGTGTATTGACCACCTGTAGGACCTCGGCCGTGAGAGGGCTTCTGCTCAGCATTTGGCCTGCTTTTCTCTTGGATTGTTTTCTTATTCATTCAGAAAGGTCCTCACCTCCTAGATCCTGACCCTTTCCCCATTAGTTGTGCTGCAGATGCCGTTGTTGAGTTTCCGACGTATTTACTCATGCTGATGGGCAGAATTCTGTGTTTTAATGTCCTTAAGTGTGTCTGTGTTTTCTTGTAGAATGTGAACCTTTAAAGAAAACCCTCCTATCCCAAAGTCAGAAATACATTTTCCTTTATTTTTTTTCCAAAACTGTTGAAGTTTCTCTCATTTCAGTCCATAAGCTACCCAGAAGTATGTGTGTGGTGTGAGGTAGGGATCTTCTTTTTACCCAAATTCTAAAACCTGAGAATGGTCTTTTGTGAGTTTATTTTTGTTCTTAGTGATTCCTTTCACACTGAAAGCATATTCCTCCTAGCTCTCCTACTGTATGTATACCTTAGGATATTAGTGTGTGCTGCCTTGGGGTCTGTCCAAAAACCTTTTTTCTTTTTCTAACAGAAACATGATCTTGCTCTGTCACCCAGGCTAGAGTGCAGTGATGGCCCCACTGCCCATGCAGAATCTGCCCCCAGCACACACACTCGCCTACCTCCATATCATAGACAAGACCCCCACTGTTTTAATTTGTATTCCTTTTAGTTATTGGCAATGTTGGATATTTTCTGTTATCGATTGCATTTCTTCTTTTATGTACTGCCTCTGCCTGTCATCTGTTTTTTTTTTTCTTTCCTTTTTTGGTGACAGGGTGTTGCTCTGTCACCCAGGCTGGAGTGCAGTGGTGCAGTCACAGCTCATTGCAGCCCTGACATCCTGGGCTCAAGTCGTCATCCTCCCGGGTAGTTGTGACTATAGGCACACACCCCCCATGCCCAGCCAATTTTGTTGTTGTTGAGATGGGATCTCGTGTTTTTTGTTCAGGTTGGTCTTGAACTTCTGGCTTCAAGCGAGCCTCCCACCTCTGCCTTCCAGAATGCTGGGATTGTAGACGTAAGCCATTGCACCTGGCCCATCTGTTTCTCAATTGCAATATTAATCTTAGAGCTTTCTTGATAGCTTCTTGTATGTTAGGGACATCTACTTTTGTAAACTGTTTCTGCCCTCTAATTTTGTGTGGCATTCTCTGACATACAAAAGTTAAGATATACAGAAGAAAGTCTTTCCTCAGGTTAGGCACGGTGGCTCATGCCTGTCATCTTAGCACTTTGGGAGGCTGAGGCGAGAGGATTGCTTGAGCTCGGGAGTTGAAGACCAGCCTGAGTCACATAGCAGGACCTTCTCTCTGCTAAAAAAAAAAAAGCAGGTCAGGCGCTGTGGCTCACACTTGTAATCCCAGCACTTCGGGAGACTGAGGTGGGCAGATCACAAGGTCAGGCTTTCGAGACCAGCCTGGCCTATAGTAAAATCCCATCTGTACTAAAAATAAAATACAAAAATTAGCCAGGCGTGGTGGTGTGCGCCTGTAGTCCCAGCTACTCAGGAGGCTGAGGCAGGAGAATCGCTTGAACCTGGGAGGCAAAGGTTACAGTGATCCTAGATGGGCCACTACATTCCAGCCTGGGCAACAGAGCAAGACTCTGTCTAAAAAACAAAAAGAAAACGAAAAAAAATCAGCCAGGCATGGTGGCACGCCTGCTACTTGGGAGACTGAGGCGGGAGGATCACTTGAGCCTGGGAGTTCAAGGCTGCAGTGAGCCATGATCACTCCATTGCACTCCAGCCTGGGCAACGAAGCAAGACTGTCTCAAAAAAAATCCAAAAAGGAAAGTCCTTCCTCAGATAAATAATCATCTGTGTGGTTTTTCATATTTAACTCCCTTTCTTCGTCTTTTTGTTCATCTCTTTGATCCTTCCAGAATTTATTTTGCTGTTTGTTGAGAGGAGATTAAGTTCCCCGCCCTGTGTGAGGAACAGCTGCTGTGGACCTTATAGTTTGTTCTTGGAGACACCGGGTTGGCATCATCTTTCTTGGTCTCTTTCTGAGATTTTGAAGTGGTTTTCAGGGACTTTGAATCGGAACACCAAGGGATTGCTTTAGGGCCTGGGGGTTGTCCAGTCATGAAGAGCCAAGTCAGGTTCACTCTGAGCTCTGCTCAGCCGCTGGCTCCTGGGCCGTGAATGGCTGTGAATTCCTGTAGTGAGCACTTTGCCTGGAGCCTGTAAGTGCTCCCATGGGCATCAGGTCAGAGTGGAGCCATCGATCAGGCAGAGGGGCCGGCTGCCAGCAGACGGTGTGCGCCTTCACAGTGTGGGGAGCGGAGAGCTGTTTGCTAAAAGGCAGCTGCTCAGGGAAGCAGTTGTATAAAGCTGTTCAGAAGACCCACATTTTCATTTGGAGGAAGTGCTTTGCTGCATTTTTAAAGTGCTGGTTTTTTAAAGAAGTCATTTTTCTAAGGCCGAGCATTACGGTTTTCCAATTTATTGTTAACTTTGTGACAGTGCCTTTGTGTGTCCTTTCTGCATCTGCTGACCTCCTCGGGGTGGGATTGGAAGTTGAGTTGCTGGGGGAGATGATTTTTGAGCCCTGGCGGCTGCCTGCCAGAATTGAGTGCACGATTGTGATCGGATCTCCTGATTTGATCGGCGCATCTGACCGAGCTGGGTGGGTTTCAGGCGGAGAGTGCACAGCGGGGAGCTCTGTGTGGCCTTTGCCCTGGAGACACTCCCTCTCCACTAGGAAGCTGCAGAAGAGGAAAGTCACGCCGGGGCCTATGGGCTGAGTTGGGGGCGTGGGCACTCAGCCTGGCTCTGTTTCTCCTGCAGCGTTTGAGGACATGCTGGAGAACCCGCTGAACAGCACCCAGTGGATGAACGATCCAGAAACGGGTCCTGTCATGCTGCAGATCTCTAGAATCTTCCAGACACTAAATCGCACGTAGGTGGCGCTGCTCCGCTCGGCTGTCCGGCCACAGCAGCCCCCAGCGCAGCCCAGGGCAGAGCGGACGTCACCTGGAAACTCACTTCAGCTCCTCGGCCCTGGACCGTTGGTGGCGCCGCGGCTGCTCCTGCACTCTGATCTGATTGCTTATAAACTCTGGTGACGGTAGTCTGTAAGGCCGTATTTTTAGCATCTGACAGGTGTTTACAAAAAAGTACTTTTGGCACTAGGAAGTGGAGTGATGGCTTCCTCCCGTGCTCCTCTGGGCTCTTGAGTTGCTACTTGAACTGCCACCAGACGTTTGCTTAGAGAGTCCATGTGTTATTTGTTATTTGACGGAGGCAGGTTTCAACCCAGAGTGTTAATGTCAGGCATGCTAATTTAACTAGTCACTCACAGATGACTTTTCTTTAATAAATAAAGTCCCTTTTCCTATTTCCTGTTTTGGTCTTTTCTTGGTGCTGTGGAAGAAGCCCATGCCTCCCTGGGGGCCGCATCCCGCGGCTCCATGCTCACTGCTCCGACCCGGGGCGGGCGCTGGGGCCACCGCAGCACGTGGGCGGTCTTGTGGCCACGTTTGGTTGGCAAAGCCTCATGTTGTATTGGGTTTAAGGGACTGGAGCTGAGCCCGAATTCCCGGGACACAGGTGCTGAGCATGGCAGCTCCCGCCTGCCCCTGGCCTCTTCCTCTTTTTTTCCATTTCTTTTTTAAAAACATGACCTGTGTCTTAAAATGAGAAACTGAGTTTTGTGTTTTGTGAACTCTGCTCATGATTCTTGTTGGGGGCAGTCAGTTCCGAGCTGCTCGTTTTCGGCTCCTCTTCTGAAGCGGCCCCTCCCCTGCCCGTCCCTGCCCTGCCCTGCCCTGCCCTTCCCACCTGTGTGGGAACCTTAGCTGAGCTCTGGGTGCACGGTAGCTAAGAATGTTTTCAGAAAATATTTATTTTCACACATCTAGGTCTTCATTATTTTTGAGATTTAGATTTAAAACTAAGTTTAGTTTAAACCATTTGGGCAGGCCGGGCAGGGTGGCTCACGCCTGTAATCGCAGCACTTTGGGAGGCCGAGGTGGGTGGATCACAAGGTCAAGAGATCGAGACCATCCTGGTCAACATGGTGAAACCCCGTCTCTACCAAAAATATAAAAAATCAGCTGGGCATGGTGGCGTGTGCCTGTAATCCCAGCTACTCAGGAGGCTGAGGCAGGAGAATTGCCTGAACCCAGGAGGTGGAGGTTGCAGTGAGCCTAACGAGCAAAACTCTGTCTCAGGAAAAAAACAAAAAACCATTTGGGCAGAAATGTTAAAAATGATTTTTAAAAGTAGCGAATTTCACATCTAAGCCTATGTTAAGATGGTCGTGTAGTCGCACTGAGGTGGGAGGCTCTCTTGAACGCAGGAGCTTGAGGCTGCAGTGAGCTGTGATCGCACCACTGCTCTCTAGCCTGAGTGACAGAACAAGACCCTGTCTCTGAAAAGCAGTTATCCAGGTATCCCTGAAGCAGCAGGACGCATTCTCAGCGTTTGTGCTACACTCTTTTACTATTATTTTGCCTCTGTTTCTTTCTTTTTTTTTTTTTTTTTTTGAGACAGAATCTCACTCTGTTGCCCAGAGTAGAGTGTAGTAACTCCATCTCGGCTCACCGAAGCCTCCACCTCTTGGGTTCAAGTGATTTTTGAGCCTCAGCCTCCCGAGTAGCTGGGATTACAGGTGCACGCCACAACACCTGGCTAATTTTTTTTGTTTTTGAAACGGAGTCTCACTCTGTCACCCAGGCTGGAGTGAAGTGGTACAGTCTGGGCTCACTGCAACCTCCATCCCTGGGTTCAAGCTATTCTCCTGCCTCAGCCTCCCCAGTAGCTGGGATTACAGGTGGCTGCCACCACGCCCGGCTAATTTTTGTATTTTTAGTAGAGACGGGGTTTTGCCACGTTGGCCAGGCTGGTCTCAAACTCCTGACCTCAGGTGATCCACCTGCCTCGGCCTCCCAAAGTGTCGGGATTACAGGTGTGAGCCACCGTGCCTGGCCAATTTTTGTACGTTTAGTAGAGATGAGTTTCGCCATGTTGGCCAGGCTGGTCTCGACCTCCCAAGGTGCTGGGGTTACAGGCCTGAGTTGCTGCCCAAGTCTGTGTTTCGTGTTTTAAATGGCAACTAAATCTTTTATTCTGTGGGTTCAAAGTACGTGGTTTGTGGGCCTCATACCTATTTCTTCTGCTGCTGGGTGTGAAACTGCCCTTCTGAAGCTGTGGGCCGGGCCCTGCAGCCTTCCTGCACACTTCAGCGGAAGGCACAGCCCTGGACGGGACACTCAGGCTCTGTGTTTCCATTTCTCCTCTAGGGAGAAGGAAAGTTCCCCCTGAGAATGTCTCAGAGGGGCTGGGCTGACCCCGGCACATCCCAGCCCTGGGCAGGTGTGGGTGCAGGTAAAGGAGTCGCCCTGGCGGCGGGCCTCACATGAGCTCATGCGTCTTTCCTGTTAAGATGTTTCGGGAGGCTGGGCGTGTGGTGGCTCACACCTGGAGTCCCAGCACTTTGGGAGGCCAAGGATCAGCGGGAGGATCACTTGAGCCCAGGGGTTTGAGACGAGCCTGGGCAGCAGTGAGACCTTGTTGCTATAAGAAAATACAAAACTCAGCAGGGCAAGGTGGCATGCAGCTGCAGTCTCAGCGGCTCGGGAGGCTCAGGCAGGGGTCACTGGAGCCCAGGAGGTCACGGCTGCAGTAAACCATGATCCGGATGCTGCCCTCCAGCCTGGGCCACAGAGCAAGACCCTGTCTCAGGAGATCCCTGAGAAAAGAAAAGCCTACTGGGGCCAGGTATGGTGGTGCACACCTGTAATCCCAGAAGTTCAGGAGACCAAGGTGGGTGGATCGCTTGAGCTCAGGAGTTTGAGACCAGGCTGGGCAACATAGTGAGACCCCTTTCTACAAAAAATACAAAAAATTAGCCCCATGTGGTGTGCATGCCTGTAGTCTCAGCTGCTCAGAAGGCTGAGATGGGAGGATTGCTCGCGCCTGGGAGATCGAGGCTGCAGTGTGTTGAGATCGTGCCACTGCACTCCAGCCTGGGCGACAGAGCAAGACCCTATCTCAAAAAAAGAAAAGCCTCTTGGTACCTGTCAGCACAGCCGTGTTCATTCTGGTTATGGTCCTGGCCTTTGCCGTGCCTGGAAAGGGGGCAGGAGTCAGTGGCCTCGAGGGCCTTCCTCCATGCCTGACCTGCTTCCCTGTTGCTCTTGGGCTTGAGGGCGGGGACAGGACGGCCCCCATGTGCTCAGCGTCTCCCTGCAGGCTTCTGCTCCTGACAGGTTGATTTCCTTGCCCGTCTGGGGACCCAAAGCTGCGACCGCCCCAGAAGGGGTTGGGGGGTCTGTTGAACGGATGACAGACGCAGCTGCCTGTCTCGTGATTAGGACCTGAGGTGAAGCTGGCTTCGTGGACCTCCCTCGGATTCGCCTGCGGTGCAGGTTCCCTGCTTGTTTCCAGCGCCCACCCTGTGGATCGCGGCCCCCCATCCACAGTGGCTCCTGCTGTGGGAGCTCTGCTTTATGGCAGCCTCACTTGGGTTCAGGTGGAGCTGGCGGTATTGAGAATGGCCCCAACGATGCCGCAGGTGCTGGGGCCTGCCGTTCTGGAGCGTCTGGTGTGGGCAGCTCCTGTCCTGGCTAGAAGTGCCATGCTGGGCTTCTATTGCCAGGCCGCCCGCCCAGGGCGTTGCTGGTGCCGTGAGTCTGTACAGCCGTGCCACACCGAGCCTGGCACAGGGCCTGGGTGTGGCCAGGCATTTCAGTCCTCTGTTTATAACAGAGCTCCTCTGAATCCTTCCTTTGCTCTCTTGCAATGAAATTTAGAGAAAATACAACCTGTATACATGCCTAGCTTTAAAAACCCATTTACCAGCCAGGGGCGGTGGCTCACGCCTGTAATCCCAGCACTTTGAGAAGCTGATGTAGGCAGATCACCTGAGGTCAGGAGTTTGCGATCAGCCTGGCCAACGTGGTGAAACCCCGTCTCTACTAAAAATACAGAAATTAGCTGGGCGTGGTGGCAGGTGCCTGTAATCCCAGCTACTCGGGAAGCTGAGGGAGGAGAATGGCTTGAACCTGGGAGGTGGAGGTTGCAGTGAGCCGAGATTGCGCCACTGCACTCCGGCCTGGGTGACAGAGAGAGACTCTGGCTCAAAAAAAAAACTTGTTTCAAGTCCCAAACAGGCCCATTCTTGGTCTCAGCTGCCGAGGGCTGGGCAGGCCCTGGGAAAGCTGGGCAGGATGAGGCCGTCTCACGCCAGCTGCTTGGGCCCAGCTTACCCCTTGGGGCAGAGCTAGGCTTGCGGAGGGTCCTGGTGACGGGAGAAACAAGAACGAGCAGGGCAGCGGCTCCGACGCGTCCACAGACCCTGCTCTGCGTGCCCCTTGCCCTCGCGGGCGTGCACAGCCAGGTGTGTGTGGCTTCGTGGGGATCGTCAGGAGGCACAGTTGAGAGGTGGATACCCTGAATTTTCCGGTTACGAGGCTGGGCAGTTACCTGTAGAAATGTACCCGGTGAAAAGCCTTTTCCCTTGAAGCTTTACATGTAACCCAGCTTGATGGGTGTTAGTTTCAACATAATGAAGCCACTGTGGAAACCCAGTGGTGTTTCCAACCAAACGCTGGTGGCCCAGCTTTCTCGGTGTGTTTGGTATCAGGGGTGCAGCAGAGGTGAGGAAGCGCCTGGAGACCCTCATCCGTGGTCAGCCCATCTGGACGGCTATGCCCGATGCAGGTGCTGCTCGGAAGGAGTGGGCAGGGCTGCGGGCCTGCGAGGCCTGGGCCTCCTGCACCAGGACCTGGGTCCAGGGATGCCTATCCCCTACCCTGCCACCAGGCCACGGGGTCCTCGGCCCGCCCCCCGCCAGCAGGGTCTGGCCAACCATAGTGCCCCCCTCGCCCACCGTCCTCTTTCGGCAAACTTGAGAGTCAGAAGAGAATGCTCTCCTCATTGAGGTTGTCAAGGTTGGGAAATTCCTTCCGAGGAGCCTCCAGACAGGTGCGTTCTTGGGACGGCTCCCGGTACTGTGGGCTGCGGAGCCGCGCTTTCCAGGAGTTCACTGACTGCCCGGCCCATCTTGCTGTGGCCTGAGCACCCACACCCGCCTGATGTGGCAGCCGTGAGGAGGGAAGTGTGTGCCGGCCTTTCCCCGAAGATGATGAGTCTGCTCCCATCCCTTGTCCCTGCACACGCGGCTTCCCCAGCGCGCCTCCTCCACTGGCCCTGTGTTTTTCTGTAGCCGCCTTTCAGCCCTGGGGTCAGAGGCTCTGGGGTCGGGGATTCACATTCTCACCAAGCCCTGTCCTCTGGCGAGATGGATCCACATTTTGACCTGGTTGCATGCAGTTGTGGAGTTCTGGGAAGGGCCACAGCGGGGTGGGGGGTAAATGCCAAGGGCCGTCAGTGCC